ATCATAAGAATAATTTTTTTAAGAATTTGATTAAACTTTTAAAATTTGTTTACGTTTTAGGGAAATTAACTTTAGTATAAAGCAAATTTCTATGGGAAATGGGTCGTCTTTATCGAAAATAATTTTATTCAACATAATTTTACAAAGCGAGATTTGTTTTATTAAAAATCTCTAATAAATACAGTGTCCTATATGGCGTATGAAAATTTTTATTTTACTGGTAGAGAAGCTTTTTACTAGGGCGTATGATTAATTTTAAGAATATTCAAATAAAGTATACTTTAAGGTGTTTGTTGACAATTCGAAACTATATACAGATCAACTTCGAAACTATATACAGATCAACTAAATAATAGTTAATTTTAAATTAAACATTTTTAAAAACTCGTTAATCAATTGTAACTTTTATAAAAATTTTTTAAAAAAATTTACTTTACAAATAACTTATGCATTCCAATTTTTCATATATTTTCCTACGAATATACCTTTTAAATTGCTTTAAATCTGCTGTAGTTGTTGAGATATCATCCGTTAAAGTTGATGGACGGACAGACATCATTAAGTCGAATCAAAAAGTAATTCTGAGTCGATTGGAACAACCACAAATAGATGTGGACTTTCTCAGATAGGTGTGGATTCAGTATTTTTGCTCCATATAAACAATATTTATAAAACATAATAATTTTTCACTTTTTTTCCCACGAATTGTTTTAATAACTGTTGTTGTAATTATTGAGATATCATTCGTTAAAGTTAACGGACGGACATACATCAGTAAGTCGAATCAAAAAGGGATTTTGAGTTAATTGGAACATCTTCAAATCTTGTGTTCGTTATAAACAATGTCTACAAAGCATAATAATTTCTGCTGTAGTTGTTGAGATATCACCCTTTGAAGTTAACGGACAGACAGACATCATTTAGTCGAATTAGAAAGTGATTTTGAGTTGATTGGAATATTCTCAGATAGGTGTAAATTCAATATTTTTGTTCATTTTAAACAATATTTACAAAGCATAATACCCTCCAAACTATAGAAGTATAGATCATAAATACCATGAATATACCAAAAACCATGAAATTTAAACTTTTAGGTGAAAATATCTCGAAGATGGAAGATGATATGTCAGAGGTTAAACCTTTATTTGAAAGTTTTCAGATTGGACTTACAGTTGGTATGGATTCTTTTATAAATAAAGTTGTATTGGCGCTGTTATAATGTCTCAGAAAGGGATAAAAAAGGCATGTCCTCAAATTTCACGACACGATATCTCAAATCCCAGATGTGATGGAGCAAATCTGAGGATTCAGCGTGGCTAATTTGATCTAAGGGTTTCGAACTTTTTCAAATTTAATAGTAGATTAATAGTGTTCCATTTGTACAAATACTTAGAAATAAAGACATAACCTCATCAGATTTTCTATAAAAACGCTAGTGTAAACATCTACCACCTTTTGAAATTTCCAACTCAACAGTTTAAGGTTTCTCTTTAATTTGTTGATTTAAATTTGTTTCGCTACTGTATTAAATTGTTTTTTTGTTTTTGCATCAGAATAGAATGTTATTTTCGTTACAGTTAATTGGATTTGATTTACACAGTTAATTAATGGAAAAAGACTAAAAATAAATACAAGTTTCTGTTAAATTTATTCTTGTTTACTAGAAACTATATATAAGCTAATATTAGCTTTCAAAGAATTCGTAGAAAGTATGTAATTTTATTTGGGTCAAATTTTAATGAATACTTTTTTAAACGTTGCAGAGATTTTTGTTAAATTTATATAAAAAATGTTTGATTCGTTTTAATAAACAAAGTAATATCTAACGAATAAGATAAATATTTTTAAAAATGTTTGCGAGAAAAGTAAAGATTTTGTGCAATAGATGGCGTTTTGTTAGCAATTATTTTCAAATTTTTAAATATATACTAGGTGTGACTTACAGTTTAGAAATCCACATATTTCTAGAAGGTTAGCCTTTGCAAAGACTCACGTTTTTGGGGGACATAGAGGAAAATTGTTTTTAACTTTCTTCTTCTATTTGACCTGGTTTAGTTATTTTTTATACTAGATATCTAAGTAAACAGTATATCTGTGCAAAATTTTATCACTCTTAGGCCTGTTATGTTAACCTCTGGTTACCGTTTAACCGGTAAATATTTTCATGGTTGAAATAATTAACTATTAACTTATCGTTTCGATACAGCAATTGGAGGTTAATTTTAACCAAAAACTCAGTTTTACACTAATATTCAATTTTTGTATAAAAAATCAGTTTTTACACTAAAACACGTTTTTACGCAAACGTCTAGTCTAGTCTATAGTCTAGTCTATAGTCTAGTCTATAGTCTAGTCTATAGTCTAGTCTATAGTCTAGTCTATAGTCTAGTCTATAGTCTAGTCTATAGTCTAGTCTATAGTCTAGTCTATAGTCTAGTCTATAGTCTAGTCTATAGTCTAGTCTATAGTCTAGTCTATAGTCTAGTCTATAGTCTAGTCTATAGTCTAGTCTATAGTCTAGTCTATAGTCTAGTCTATAGTCTAGTCTATAGTCTAGTCTATAGTCTAGTCTATAGTCTAGTCTATAGTCTAGTCTATAGTCTAGTCTATAGTCTAGTCTATAGTCTAGTCTATAGTCTAGTCTAGTCTAGTCTATAGTCTAGTCTATAGTCTAGTCTATAGTCTAGTCTATAGTCTAGTCTATAGTCTAGTCTATAGTCTAGTCCTATAGTCTAGTCTATAGTCTAGTCTATAGTCTAGTCTAGTCTAGTCTATAGTCTAGTCTATAGTCTAGTCTATAGTCTAGTCTATAGTCTAGTCTATAGTCTAGTCTATAGTCTAGTCTATAGTCTAGTCTATAGTCTAGTCTATAGTCTAGTCTATAGTCTAGTCTATAGTCTAGTCTATAGTCTAGTCTAGTCTAGTCTAGTCTATAGTCTAGTCTATAGTCTAGTCTATAGTCTAGTCTATAGTCTAGTCTATAGTCTAGTCTATAGTCTAGTCTATAGTCTAGTCTATAGTCTAGTCTATAGTCTAGTCTATAGTCTAGTCTATAGTCTAGTCTATAGTCTAGTCTATAGTCTAGTCTATAGTCTAGTCTATAGTCTAGTCTATAGTCTAGTCTATAGTCTAGTCTATAGTCTAGTCTATAGTCTAGTCTATAGTCTAGTCTATAGTCTAGTCTATAGTCTAGTCTATAGTCTAGTCTATAGTCTAGTCTATAGTCTAGTCTATAGTCTAGTCTATAGTCTAGTCTATAGTCTAGTCTAGTCTAGTCTATAGTCTAGTCTATAGTCTAGTCTATAGTCTAGTCTATAGTCTAGTCTATAGTCTAGTCTATAGTCTAGTCTATAGTCTAGTCTATAGTCTAGTCTATAGTCTAGTCTATAGTCTAGTCTAGTCTATAGTCTAGTCTATAGTCTAGTCTATAGTCTAGTCTATAGTCTAGTCTATAGTCTAGTCTATAGTCTAGTCTATAGTCTAGTCTATAGTCTAGTCTATAGTCTAGTCTATAGTCTAGTCTATAGTCTAGTCTATAGTCTAGTCTATAGTCTAGTCTATAGTCTAGTCTATAGTCTAGTCTATAGTCTAGTCTATAGTCTAGTCTATAGTCTAGTCTATAGTCTAGTCTATAGTCTAGTCTATAGTCTAGTCTATAGTCTAGTCTATAGTCTAGTCTATAGTCTAGTCTATAGTCTAGTCTATAGTCTAGTCTATAGTCTAGTCTATAGTCTAGTCTATAGTCTAGTCTATAGTCTAGTCTATAGTCTAGTCTATAGTCTAGTCTATAGTCTAGTCTATAGTCTAGTCTATAGTCTAGTCTATAGTCTAGTCTATAGTCTAGTCTATAGTCTAGTCTATAGTCTAGTCTATAGTCTAGTCTATAGTCTAGTCTATAGTCTAGTCTATAGTCTAGTCTATAGTCTAGTCTATAGGTCTAGTCTATAGTCCTAGTCTATAGTCTAGTCTATAGTCCTAGTCTATAGTCTAGTCTATAGTCTAGTCTATAGCCTACGTCTATAGTCTAGTCTATAGTCTAGTCTATAGTCCAGTCTATAGTCTAGTCTATAGCCTAGTCTATAGTCTAGTCTATAGTCTAGTCTATAGTCTAGTCTATAGTCTAGTCTATAGTCTAGTCTATAGTCTAGTCTATAGTCTAGTCTATAGTCAAGTCTATAGTCTATCTATAGTCAAGTCTATAGTCTAGTCTATAATCTAGTCTATAGTCTAGGCTATAGTCCTAGGCTATAGTCTACTCTAAAGTCTGGTCTATAGTCAAGTCTAAAGTCTAGTTCTATAGTCTAGTCTATAGTCTAGTCTATAGTCTAGTCCTAAGTCTAGTCTAAAAGTCTAGTCTAAAGTCCAGTCTAAGCTAGTCTAAAGACTAGTCTATAGTCTAGTCTATAGTCTAGTCTATAGTCTAGTCTATAGTCTAGTCTATAGTCTAGTCTATAGTCTAGTCTATAGTCTAGTCTATAGTCTAGTCTATAATCTAGTCTATAAACTTGGATTTTATACTAAAACTTTGTTCTTTAAAAAAAATTTGGGTTTTATACAAAAAGTCGGGTTTTTTTCAAAAACTTTATTTGTATACAAAAACTCGGTTTTAACACTAAAACTAGATTTTTTTCAAAGGCTCAGTTTTTACGAAAAATCTCACTTTTTGCACAAAAAAATATTTTTGCGCAAAATCTAAATTTTTAAGCAAATGCTTAGTTTTTTTACAAAAACAAATCTTGTTACACAAAAACTGAGTTGCTCAGTTTTTACATAAATACTCAGTTTTTGCACAAAATCTCTGTTTTTACACAAACAATCGTGTGAAACATAGTATTATTTTTTACATAAAAACTCAATTTATACACAAATTTCTGTTTTTACACAAAAACTTAATTTTTACACAAAAACTCTTTGTGTATTTAAAAGCTCGTTTTTGCGCGAAAGATCTGTTTTTACAAAAAAAAAAGAAACACAAAATTTTACACAAAACTAGTGTTTATCGCAAAAGCTTGGCTTTTATTTGCATAAAAACTCTGTATTAACACAAAAACAAGAAAAAGTTAGACTTAAATTTATAGGATGTGGCTTTCTAAAGTTTATTATATGGTAAGTCGTTTATGCTTTTTAAAGGCTACTGTTTTTAAACTTTACCTTCTTTGAAGATTTTCTCTATTCTTCATTATTAACATCAACACAATTTACATTATTTAACTAATAAAGAGTTTAAAATATTTAAAAAGGAAAACTTAATAATAAATTACATACCTCGGAAGATGTTAAATAGCACATGCGTGAATCGGTGCTCTCAATAGAAGCTTGTTGTACGATACCATAACGGGAATCACGATCACTTAAATAATCAGATCTTAAGCTATCTTGGCGTATAAATTCGGCTCTACATGGGTTTTAATAAAAAATGATAAATTAAATAATGAAAAACAAATTCAAGACATTCTTTTGTAAAACATTTTACCGTTGTTCTAAGGAATCAGCTCTGGCTGACTTATAACCAGAGTCATTTAAACTACTGTCTTGTCTTAAAGATGGCAAGGAATCCCAGGGAGAACGTTTATTGCCTGAACTAGTGGTCTGTTGAGACATGAGACCTTGACCGGAACCAGAACCGATAGTAGAGCTACCAGAACGCCAACCATCCGAATGACGAAACCATTGAGCTCTGGCTGACTCACCAATGCATGAAGCACAACGTGAATTTGAGAAACTAAAGAAATAAAAGTTTATTAATTATAAAGAAAGATGAGAATCAAACTTTCTACTCACCTGGTATTGTGATCCGACAAATAACCACGTTCTCTTTCCCTTTCACGTTCTCGCTCACGCACCAACTCATTACGATCGCTATAGTAACCATCTCGCTCACGATCACGCTCCTTATCGCGCACTGCAGACAAAGGACGATGTGGAGGCAAAGGTAGAGTAGAAGATTTAGCACTTGTAGCTGGATTTAAAAGAATTTATATACAAAATTTTACATTGAATTTGAAAAGACATGTAAACAAAAAGTGCCAACGTTTAAATCAGTGCAGAATTCATATTATAAAAATAAGCAAATTGTCGACATAATTAAATAAAATATTTAGTTTAACAAACATTTAAGCTTTTAATAAAAAGTCAATATAATTTGTTTAAATATTTAGAGTTAAGTCAAAAAGAAAAGAAAACACAATTAGTTAAAACGTAAAAATTAAGCAAACGAAATGATTTTTGCACACGATTTTAGCGCTAAATGGGTTTGTACTACTTACGCCTGCGCATGGGAAACGGGCTGCGTTGCATTGATCCGGGCAAACTCTCGGCAAATTCTGATGAGTGTATGTGTTTTTTTTTTTTTTTTTGGAATGAATTTATTATGTTTTTTTTTACGTAGTACAAGATGTTTTTTTTATATTTTGTGGTAGTGGTTGGTGGTGGTATTTTTGGATTTAGTGGAAGTGCATGGAAATATAATGAATGCAATTAATGATTGTGTTAGAGAGAGGATGAATTAGAAAATTCTTTATAAATAATTTAATGTCTAAAATTCAATCACATGTAGATAATTGAAAAATAAATGAAATAAAATGGTATTGCCTAGTCTACTACTTATTTAATAACTATTTTATTATTAATTCGATTTAACTTTTTTAGATCAGATTTTAATGTTTAAACTGTTTATTAGTTGTAAAACAGATTTACTTCTATTTTAAGAGTTTAGTTGTCCACAAGAGGAAAATACTTGATCTTTATAATAATGAACACATTTTATAAACTTTTGTTCCTGCTAAACTGATATTATCCAGTAGTTTGGTTTTCAAAGCATTTTAACAAATGCAAGATGCAGTTTTTGACAAAAACTCAGTTTTATGGTGAAAACCAAGTTTTATGACAAAAACCCAGGTTTTTTTGAGTTTTTGTGTAAAAGCTAGGTTTTTGTGTTAAAACTGAGTTTATGTGTAAAAACTGAGTTTTTGTGTTAAAACTGAGTTTATGTGTAAAAACGGAGTTTTTGTGTAAAAAACTAAGTTTTTGTGCTAAAAACTGAGTTTATGTGTAAAACTGAGTTTTTGTGTAAAAACTGAGTTTTTGTGTAAAGAGCGAGCATGAGTGTAAAAGTTGAGTTTTCGGGTAGAAACTGACTTTTTGAGAAGAAACTAAATTTTTACACAAAAACTCAAATTGTACACAAAAATTCTGCTTTTACACAAAAGCTCAGTTTTAACACAAAAACTCAGTTCTTACACAAAATCTCAGTTTTAACACAAAAACTCAGTTTTTACACAAAAACTCAGTTTTTACACAAAAACTCAGTTTTTACACAAAAACTCAATTTTTATACAAAAACTCAGTTTTTACACAAAAACTCAGTTTTTACACAAAGTCTCAGTTTTAACACAAAAACTCAGTTTTTACACAAAATCTCAGTTTTAACACAAAAACTCAGTTTTTACACAAAAACTCAATTTTTACACAAAAACTCAATTTTTACACAAAAACTCAATTTTTATACAAAAACTCAGTTTTTACACAAAGTCTCAGTTTTAACACAAAAACTCAGTTTTTACACAAAATCTCAGTTTTAACACAAAAACTCAGTTTTTACACAAAAACTCAATTTTTACACAAAAACTCAATTTTTATACAAAAACTCAGTTTTTACACAAAATCTCAGTTTTAACACAAAAACTCAGTTTTTACACAAAAACTCAATTTTTACTCAATTTTTATACAAAAACTCAGTTTTTACACAAAATCTCAGTTTTAACACAAAAACTCAGTTTTTACACAAAATCTCAGTTTTAACACAAAAACTCAGTTTTTACACAAAAACTCAATTTTTACACAAAAACTAAATTTTTACACAAAAACTCAGTTTTTACACATAAACTCAGTTTTAACACAAAACTCAGTTTTTACACAAAAACTCAGTTCTTACACTAAAACTCAGTTTTTACACAAAAACAAAATTTTTACACAAAACTCAGTTTTTACACAAAATCTGAGTTTTTACGCAAAAACTCAATTTTTACGCAAAAACTCAATTTTTACACTAAAACTTAGTTTTTATACAAAATCAGTTTTTACACAAAAGCATAGATTTTACACAAAAACTCAGTTATTTACACAAAAACTAAGCTTTTACTTACTTTTCTATTTTCTCAACAAAAATAAAAAGTGTGTTAAAGGGTGTTAATAGAAAATAAAAATAAAACTAAATAAAATTTTAAAAAATTTACGTAAATACAAATATTAAATTAAAAAAAACTCTCTAACAAATTTGTATGCATTAAAAAAAGTTAACTACTTAAGCGGACGTAGTAGCTTTTAAGGACCAATCAGTTGATCATCACAGAAAACTTACCCAAATTTTCCATGCTCTGCGAGAGTAAAGCCTCGAATGTATGAAGACTATAAGACTCAGCATCCATGCCCTTGGCCAAAGTGTTGCGCAAATGCATTTCGTATTCGAGTAATAGACGTGAAGTGGGACTGCCAGGTGTAGGAGTAACATTGGGACCCTGATGACGATGTTGATGACGTCCACCACCGCCGCCGCCTCCTCCAGGAGGACGTTGTACATACGAAGACTGATCCTGATCGGAGTTGCCATTACTGGAACTGGGTGTAGTGGCGTAACATTGATTATCGAACATTACATTGTCGGAAGGTGGCGAACCTTCAATACAGCCACGTTCTCGTTCCAATTCCAAATATAAATTACGTGGTGTATAACCACGTCCAATTTCATGGGAAGATCTAATTTCAGAAAAAAAAAATTACAAACAAAATACAAAAAACGTAAACAATGCAAGCGAGACACAATCCGTTAGTAAATATTTTACAGTTGTTAACTGTTTGATTTGCCAACAGTTACTATTGGTTTGTTTAGTTTTGTTTGCCCAAATGCGTCTTCTTACCTTGATCCCGAAAATCGCGACGACTGACTGCTGGGACGACCACCACCCAATGTATTATTGTTGTTCATAATGTGATGCATGCCACCCATGCCGCCGCCACCACCAGCATGTTGATGCATGTGTTGCGGGCCAAACGTATTTGCTGCGTTGGCGTTATAGTAGTTGTAGCGTCTTCTACCCATTTCAGGCGATGTCACTGGGCTTTCAGTGCTAGTCATGGGCTTAAGCATACGCTTCAAAGTGCTGGTATCGACATTCATGTCCTCGGTACTTTTCGTTTTGCGTCTGGTATTGTTGTTAATTATATTGTGTTGATGTTGGTGTTGGTGCTGATGTTGATGCATGTCGTGGCCATGTGGATCGCGTGTCTAAGCATAAAATAAAACAACAACATATAACAATCAAATGTAAAAAAATTAAAGAATTCAGCGAAAAAAAGGCAGCAAATAAAACATAATGTTTTGTTATGTGTAGCAGACCGACACTTACTATCAAGGGTGAAACTATTATGCTAGTAATGTAAATAGTATTGGAACTGTTGCATTAATGTAATGTGGCGTGTATGCACTTTATTTAATTTAAGCTTTGTTTTTGCTTTTTTTTTCTTTGCAAATCCCTTTAACATTCGTCGTTTAGTGGTAGATATTTGTCCGAATATATATATGTATGTTTGTAACCATGGGTGTTTTATAATGATGTAAGCCCAATGCAAGTTGTTTGATTTCTTCATAAATTAAAAACAAAATCGTTGAGATATAGCCTAGTCTATAGTCTAGTCTATAGTCTAGTCTATAGTCTAGTCTATAGTCTAGTCTATAGTCTAGTCTATAGTCTAGTCTATAGTCTAGTCTATAGTCTAGTCTATAGTCTAGTCTATAGTCTAGTCTATAGTCTAGTCTATAGTCTAGTCTATAGTCTAGTCTATAGTCTAGTCTATAGTCTAGTCTATAGTCTAGTCTATAGTCTAGTCTATAGTCTAGTCTATAGTCTAGTCTATAGTCTAGTCTATAGTCTAGTCTATAGTCTAGTCTATAGTCTAGTCTATAGTCTAGTCTATAGTCTAGTCTATAGTCTAGTCTATAGTCTAGTCTATAGTCTAGTCTATAGTCTAGTCTATAGTCTAGTCTATAGTCTAGTCGATAGTCTAGTCTATAGTCTAGTCTATAGTCTAGTCTATAGTCTAGTCTATAGTCTAGTCTATAGTCTAGTCTATAGTCTAGTCTATAGTCTAGTCTATAGTCTAGTCTATAGTCTAGTCTATAGTCTAGTCTATAGTCTAGTCTATAGTCTAGTCTATAGTCTATAGTCTATAGTCTAGTCTATAGTCTAGTCTATAGTCTAGTCTATAGTCTAGTTATAGTCTAGTCTATAGTCTAGTCTATAGTCTAGTCTATAGTCTAGTCTATAGTCTAGTCTATAGTCTAGTCTATAGTCTAGTCTATAGTCTAGTCTATAGTCTAGTCTATAGTCTAGTCTATAGTCTAGTCTATAGTCTAGTCTATAGTCTAGTCTATAGTCTAGTCTATAGTCTAGTCTATAGTCTAGTCTATAGTCTAGTCTATAGTCTAGTCTATAGTCTAGTCTATAGTCTAGTCTATAGTCTAGTCTATAGTCTAGTCTATAGTCTAGTCTATAGTCTAGTCTATAGTCTATAGTCAGTCTATAGTCTAGTCTACTAGTCTAGTCTATTAGTCTAGTCTATAGTCTAGTCTATAGTCTAGTCTATAGTCTAGTCTATAGTCTAGTCTATAGTCTAGTCTATAGTCTAGTCTATAGTCTAGTCTATAGTCTAGTCTATAGTCTAGTCTATAGTCTAGTCTATAGTCTAGTCTATAGTCTAGTCTATAGTCTAGTCTATAGTCTAGTCTATAGTCTAGTCTATATAGTCTAGTCTATAGTTAGTCTTGTCTAGTCTATAGTCTAGTCTATAGTCTAGTCTATAGTCTAGTCTATAGTCTAGTCGATAGTCTAGTCTAATAGTCTGTCTATAGTCTAGTCTCTAGTCCTAGTCTATAGTCTAGTCTATTAGTCTAGTCCTATAGTCTAGTCTATAGTCTAGTCTATAGTCTAGTCTATAGTCTAGTCTATAGTTAGTCTATAGTCTAGTCTATAGTCTAGTCTATAGTCTAGTCTATAGTCTAGTCCTATAGTCTAGTTATAGTCTAGTCTATAGTCTAGTCTTATAGTCTAGTCTACTAGTTCTAGTCTATAGTCTAGTCTATAGTCTAGTCTATAGTCTAGTCTATAGTCTAGTCTATAGTCTAGTCTATAGTCTAGTCTATAGTCTAGTCTATAGTCTAGTCTATAGTCTAGTCTATAGTCTATAGTCTATATGTCTAGTCTATAGTCTAGTCTATAGTCTAGTCTATAGTCTAGTCTATAGTCTAGTCTATAGTCTAGTCTATAGTCTAGTCTATAGTCTAGTATAGTCTAGTCTATAGTCTAGTCTATAGTCTAGTCTATAGTCTAGTCTATAGTCTAGTCTATAGTCCTAGTCTATAGTCCTAGTCTATAGTCTAGTCTATAGTCTAGTCTAATAGTCTAGTCTATAGTCTAGTCTATAGTCTAGTCTATAGTCTAGTCTATAGTCTAGTCTATGTCTAGTCATAGTCTAGTCTATAGTCTAGTCTATAGTCTAGTCTATAGTCTAGTCTATAGTCTAGTCTATAGTCTAGTCTATAGTCAGTCTATAGTCTAGTCTATAGTCTAGTCTATAGTCTAGTCTATAGTCTAGTCTATAGTCTAGTCTATAGTCTAGTCTATAGTCTAGTCTATAGTCTAGTCTATAGTCTAGTCTAGTCTAGTCTATGTAGTCTTAGTCTAGTCTATTAGTCTAGTAGCTTAGTCTCAGTCTAATAGTCTAGTCTATAGTCTAGCTATAGTCTAGTCTATAGGTTCTCGTCTATTAGTCTAGTCTATAGTCTAGTCTATAGTCTAGGTCTCTAGTCTAGTCTATAGTCTAGTTCTATAGTCTTAGTCTATAGTATAGTCTATAGTCTAGTCTATAGTCTAGGTCCTATAGTCTAGTCTATAGTCTAGTCTATAGTCTAGTCTATAGTCTAGTCTATAGTCTAGTCTATAGTCTAGTATAGTCTACGCTTCTAATAGTCTAGTCTATAGTCTAGTCTATAGTCTAGTCTATAGTCTAGTCTATAGTCTAGTCTATAGTCTCGTCTATAGTCTAGTCTATAGTCCTAGTCTATTAGTCTAGTCTATAGTCTGTCTATAGTCTAGTCTATAGTCTAGTCTATAGTCTAGTCTATAGTCTAGTCTATTAGTCTAGTCTATAGTCTAGCTCAGTAGTCTAGGTCTATAGTCTAGGTCTATAGTCTAGTCTATTAGTCTTAGTCTATAGTCTAGTCTATAGTCTCGTCTATAGTCTAGTCTATAGTCTAGTCTATAGTCTAGTCTATAGTTCTAGTTCTATAGTCTAGTCTTATGTCTAGTCTCTTAGTCAGTCTAGTCTATAGTCTAGTCTATAGGTCTAGTCTATTAGTCTAGTCTATAGTCTAGTCTATAGTCTAGTCTATAGTCTAGTCTATAGTCTAATAGTCTATAGTCTAGTCTATAGTCTAGTCTATAGTCTAGTCTATAGTCTAGTTATAGTCTAGTCTATAGTCTAGTCTATAGTCTTAGTCTATAGTCTAGTCTATAGTCTCGTCGTTCTATAGTCTAGTCTATAGTTAGTCTATAGTCTAGTCTATAGTCTAGTCTATAGTCTAGTCTATGTCAGTCTATAGTCTAGGTCTATAGTCTAGTCTATAGTCTAGTCTATAGTCTAGTCTATAGTCTAGTCTATAGTTAGTCTATAGTCTAGTCTATAGTCTAGTCTATAGTCTAGTCTATAGTCTAGTCTATAGTTAGTCTAGTCTAGTCTATAGTCTAGTCTATGGTCTAGTCAATAGTCTAGTCTATAGTCTAGTCTATAGGTCTAGTCTATAGTTTAGTCTATAGTCTAGTCTTTAGTCTAGTCTATAGTCTAGTCTATAGTCTAGTCTATAGTCTAGTCTATGGTCTAGTCAATAGTCTAGTCTCTAGTCTAGTCTATAGTCTAGTCTATAGTCTAGTCTATAGTTTAGTCTATAGTCTAGTCTATAGTTTAGTCTATAGCAGAGAAGCTCAATATGGCCGTGTCATAGCACGCGTGATAGGGTAAGAAAATTCTGCTGACGCTAAGTTGATACACATACACTATAGGTTTAATTCTTCTTCTTTTTATAATGAGCAATATCAGTTGGTTTGCTCTCAACTTGAAAAACAAAATCAAATCAGTTGCTGATCAGCACTTGCCAAAGCAAGGTCTGTGCGCGACGTTTTTAAAATACACACAGAAATACAACAACAAAATTTTGAGAAAGCCGAATTAATGTAGGAGAACATGGGAGAACAGTTGATAGTTTTTTATATATAGACGTTGCTATACGCTGGCTGTCAAAATCCATAATAAATATTTGACAGTTAGCATATACTTTATAGTTTGTAGTCATTTTATTAGTATACTTTTATTTTCAATTAAATTCTGTTCTCTGCTGCTTTACCAACACAAATAAAACTATGGTAGTCTATGGTAGTATGTGTTTGAGCACCACTGGTCTATAGTCTAGTCTACAGTCTGGTCAATAGTATAGTGCTATTGTTTTGTCATACTTCCCCAGTTAATGAATAGCTTTATAAACTCAATCAAAAACCCACTGTATACGTATGCAAATAAGTATGTGTGTGTTTTAAAATAGTAAATCATTACGAATGTGTATAAAAATCCGAGTGACACTAATAGTAGTTACTACTCTCGGCAAGCATTAAGTCGTCGTTATTTGTCTAACTAGATTTAGCAGTCAACACTCACCATATCATCAGCATATTCTTTAGAACGAGTTCCAGTAGATTTTGTGGAAGTTCCCACCGACTGATGTAAAGGGCCACCGGCTTGGGTGCCTTCACTCTTGGCCATATCAACATCGGATTGACCGCCTAAAGCATCTTCGGGACCAGCTTGAGAGCCAACATGGTTTTGGGAACAAATATCGCCAGAAGAAACACCAGCAGCATTGGCTGCGCCACCAGCACCACCACACACGCCACCATTGGTAGCTGCGGCAGCATCTTGAGTTTTAATTTGACGACCTAAAGTATCTAAAGGAAAATGAAGCAAGAAATTAAATATTCAAACTAAAAATCATATAAAGAGAGAGCTAACTTACCACCAGCAGAGCCCAGACCTTGGTTACCGCCACCACCACCACCGCTGGCGACATTGTCATAGAGTGAAGTGCTGCTCGTAGCATTTGTGACTTTCTGATGTGCTTGTCCATCGGCATCGGCAGCAACGCGGGAACCCACATTGCGTGGCAAAGTGGAAGAACCTGCAAAAGTTATGATGATGAATATGATGAGGATGTTGTTGATGGCATTTGGCAATGGAAAGAAAACAAAAGATTTAAATTAAAAAAAAAAAAAACAAAATAAACTAAAAATCTACATGGGATTATATAAAAAACAAAATAAAAAAACATCACAGAAAAAACTAAACGAAAAATAAACTTAAATCTTAAGAAATGACTTAAATTCAGAACTCAAAATCAAAAAAGGGAATTTAGTTTGGAAAGGATTAAGAGGGATTGGGTACATAAAAGTGTGAACACTTTTCTTTGATTTTTTTTTTGGAAATAATTAAAAATAGTGTTGTTCTTAGTATTTTTAAAAAAATAATTATTATTTTCTTGTTCAAGGAAGTTAAGTAGGTGTTAATTTGGTTTTAATTGAATTTTGACTTTTAGCAAGACAAGAATTAAAAAAAAATTACAAACAAATTTTTTGTTTTTGTTTTTTTTTTTTTTGTATCTTCCTCACCTCGTACTCTGGGATCATTTCTCAAGCGTGCATATTGTTCGGCTGTCATACAAGTGCATTGTGGCTCACTGCGTACTCGTGAGGGTGAGGCCGGTGTGCTTAATGGCTTTCTCTTGGCTTTGACTTTTCCCTTGCCAGGCGGATCCAATTTCAGCGAATAACTTGATGAGGCCTTTCGTGAAAATTTGAAAGAAGGCGACTGTAAAACGTCGCACTATCATTAGGTTAGTTGAATGGGATTCACAAGGTTCTGTGTGTGCGGTTCTCTTTCTTTCTCTCTTTCTATCTCTCTGTTTCTAACTGTTCGATCGATCTTAGGATTGAATCGACTTTTTTAACTATGACAGTTATTACATTTCATTAACTCTTTCCATTTTGTTTAGAAAATTGCAACAATTTGAATTGAAATGTTTTGAAATGCTCTTAAGCATTCGAAAGAAAGTTTTTGTCATTTAAAAATTTTAACTGGAAAGATTTGTTTTATATATTGGAGGAAAATTAAGAAATTTTTGTTTAACTTTTAACAACTTACTGTTACGTATTTAAGACGAGTATTGTCGCTATTGGATGGAATTCTAAATAGTGAACTGTAAAGTAGAACTTACGGCTAACTTTTTTATTTGTTTCTTTGATTTCTTTGTAATTTAAGGTACTTTTTGTATGCGTATGTAAGTATTAACTATTTTTATGTATATTTGTGTGGTATTTATGCCTACATTTTTAATTAATATTCTTATTAAAATAGTTACTCTATTATTTTAACTGTTTTCTGCTTAATGCCTAGTGTAGTGTTAACTGTGCCCCTAAAAGTATGCATTCTTTCGTATGTTTTATAAATTAAATTTATATTAATTAGAAATTTTGATTTTAGTATTAGGATTGTCCTATTTTGGTACAACAGTATTTTGTTGTTAGGATTAATTTTATATATCCAGTAAATAATGCTTTGTTATATCGTTTCTTATTATGATTCTTCATAGAATTTAAATTTTATAAATTTTTTTTATAATGCCATTAATTTTGAACTAGAACTAGAACTAGAACTGAACTAGAACTGAACTAGAACTGAACTAGAACTGAACTAGAACTGAACTAGAACTGAACTAGAACTGAACTAGAACTGAACTAGAACTGAACTAGAACTGAACTAGAACTGAACTAGAACTGAACTAGAACTGAACTAGAACTGAACTAGAACTGAACTAGAACTGAACTAGAACTGAACTAGAACTGAACTAGAACTGAACTAGAACTGAACTAGAACTGAACTAGAACTGACTAGAACTGAACTAGAACTGAACTAGAACTGAACTGAACTAGAACTGAACTAGAACTGAACTAGAACTGAACTAGAACTGAACTAGAACTGAACTAGAACTGAACTAGAACTGAACTAGAACTGAACTAGAACTGAACTAACTGAACTAGAACTGAACTAGAACTGAACTAGAACTGAACTAGAACTGAACTAGAACTGAACTAGAACTGAACTAGAACTGAACTAGAACTGAACTAGAACTGAACTAGAACTGAACTAGAACTGAACTAGAACTGAACTAGAACTGAACTAGAACTGAACTAGAACTGAACTAGAACTGAACTAGAACTGAACTAGAACTGAACTAGAACTGAACTAGAACTGAACTAGAACTGAACTAGAACTGAACTAGAACTGAACTAGAACTGAACTAGAACTGAACTAGAACTGAACTAGAAATGAACTAGAACTGAACTAGAACTGAACTAGAACTGAACTAGAACTGAACTAGAACTGAACTAGAACTGAACTAGAACTGAACTAGAACTGAACTGAACTAGAACTGAACTAGAACTGAACTAGAACTGAACTAGAACTGAACTAGAACTGAACTAGAACTGAACTAGAACTGAACTAGAAACTGAACTAGAACTGAACTAGAACTGAACTAGAACTGAAACTAGAACTGAACTAGAACTGAACTAGAACTGAACTAGAACTGAACTAGAACTGAACTAGAACTGAACTAGAACTGAACTAGAACTGAACTAGAACTGAACTAGAACTGAACTAGAACTGAACTAGAACTGAACTAGAACTGAACTAGAACTGAACTAGAACTGAACTAGAACTGAACTAGAACTGAACTAGAACTGAACTAGAACTGAACTAGAACTGAACTAGAACTGAACTAGAACTGAACTAGAACTGAACTAGAACTGAACTAGAACTGAACTAGAACTGAACTAGAACTGACTGAACTGAACTGAACTAGAACTGAACTAGAACTGAAACTAGAACTGAACTAGAACTGAACTAGAACTGAACTTAGAACTGAACTAGAACTGAACTAGAACTGAACTAGAACTGAACTAGAACTGAACTAGAACTGAACTAGAACTGAACTAGAACTGAACTAGAACTGAACTAGAACTGAACTAGAACTGAACTAGAACTGAACTAGAACTGAACTAGAACTGAACTAGAACTGAACTAGAACTGAACTAGAACTGAACTAGAACTGAACTAGAACTGAACTAGAACTGAACTAGAAACTAGAACTGAAAACTGAACTAGAACTGAACTAGAACTGAACTAGAACTGAACTAGAACTGAGCTAGAACTGAGCTAGAACTGAGCTAGAACTGAACTAGAACTGAACTAGAACCAGGACTTCATATTAATCATCATATTAATCTATAAACTGTAAGGGTCAAAGGTAACATATTTATAGATCCGTAAAGTGATATTATTAGTAGTTGCACGGTCGATTTTAATGCAACTTACGTGAGACCAATTCTGTACTCAATTTGAAGAATAGTGAAAAATATTGAAATATAAGAAATAAGCCCATGCTGTATGTGGGCTCAAATCGAGGAGCTAATTTTCAAGGGCAAAATATCGTATTTTAATCTGACATTTGCATAATTTTTGTTATTAGCTTTTTATAGCAAAGTTCTAAATCAAAATGTTTAAAATTACAATTCTCAAAGTCTCAGGTCTAAACGAAATGATTAATGGCCGGAATATTTATAACTTTTCATATAACGATGCATTTTAAATGCAAATCTTAATATTTAAATATAGTAGTTAAACAAAACTAATAATTTAATAGTAATTTATTTACATAGTACATATTTTTACCGGAAACCACTTTAAATAGACAAAAAATATTTTGAAATCTTTGTGATCAGAGTTAAAAATTACAATCTAATAGTAGATACATTAAATGCTAAACAAAAGAATGCATTCTTTTAAAACTAACAATAAGTGCAATTTCAATAATTTTATTCAACTAACTAAATTATTATATTTTATTTATGTAATTAATTGTTATTTAGAATTTGTTTTCATCTTCTAATATGTATGTTTTAGTTTGTATCAAAATAAATATTTTAATTACTGGTTGCAGTTGCAAATTGTTCCTTATTGTTGTTGTTGTTTTTTTTTTGTTAATTTACTCCTAAACTAACTAAATACTAAACTTATTTAGTATATTCCTTGTTGTTGTACTTCTAAACGAACACTGTACAGTACAGAGTGTGCTGTGGCTGTGTAAGTAGTACGAGCCCACTGTACTTTTGTTTAATGTATAGAAATATATCATTTGAAATCTAAGACATTTTCTTATTTGTTAATATATTGTTGTTTTTGTTAACGAGTATGTTGTTGTTGTAGTTTTCTTTGTTTATAATTGTAGTTGTTTTTGTTGTTGGGTTTTTATTATGCATTTTTATCTAAATTTGTTTTAAAGTGCATTTATTTATTCTTTATTTATTTAGTTTTAATTATTTGAAAATTAAGAATTTTTGGTGCAATTGATAGCAAAAGTAGGGCAATAGAGATCGAAAAAATAAACTCTGATTTAATCTAAGAAACCGCTGGGTGTGAAAACTTAAGGAGTTTTTCTTGGGATTATAAGTGAGTGGGATAAGGGATTGTTTTTTCAATAATCGGGACTTAGTAGGTGAACGGAATCAAAATACTGGATACGTGCGATTGCTCTATAACGTTTTGCATTTTTCTTTGGCATTATTAAGAGAAACATATTTTGTTTTAGTTTTTTTTTTTTTTATCATAAATTAATTATTTTAGCATATTTTTGCAAAATGCCACCAAAAATGCAAAACGTTTTTTTTTTGTTTTTAAATTTATTTTTTAATTATTTTGTTTAATATATAAAAAGTTATTTATTATTACAAATTTTATAATAAGAGAAAAAGTTAGACAGAAAATGTTGATGTACATACATGGTCATTTAAAAGATTTTAAATAAAAAATTAAACAAATAAATAAAAAACACAAAAAATCAATAAAAACCAAAAAAACATAAACAAAGTGAATTGAAATGATTTGAAAGTATATAAGAACAATTTATGAACAAAGTATTAACAAAAAATTATTTAAGAAAATGATTGAATTTGGAATTTTGAAAAATTATATATATTTTTTTCGTTTTGTTTTGTGGTCGAGTTCATGAATATAATTCAATGCAAAAAAGAGAAGGAGAAAAAAGAAATAAAAGAGTACAAAATACAAATATAAATAATTTTAGTGTTTGACTTTAATGCATAGACAAACTAAATTCGCTTTTGGCTCTTTTTTTAAATATTTAAATAAAAAGAAGAAACTAAATCAAATTTAAAGAAAATATAAATAAAAACAAACATATAAAAGTAAAATAACTTAAATGCTTTTTTTAAATCCTTATATACAAAATTCTTTATTTTGCATGAATATTGATTGATAGTTTAAGTTTAAGTATGTGTTAATATATAGAAAAAATTCGAAAAGAAATGTATGTACAATTGTATGCGTGGTTGTGAGTGATCGTGTGGCTAAGTGAATGAATATGATTTAGTGTACTATCACAGTTAGTGTAGTATTCGAAATTTCTATAAAAAACTACTAATTTTGATATGACTAGATTTGTATGTAATACAGTCATAACTGTTTTAACTGACCTAAGCTAGTATATAATTTCTAACGTGACTAGTTCTAGACGAAAGTCCAGAAAGAGGTGCAATTGATAATTACTTCACAAAGTAAATTTACAAATATTAAATGCTATTTAAAGATTAATGAAATACACTGAAACTAAATTTGAATACCCCTAGTTTTCTTGGAATACAAAGAACATATTAATAAGAAATATAGTAAATATTTAAGTACATAAATATGAAAGAATCCAGAGATCTCAGAGAACTTTCGGTTTGAAATAAAAATTTCATATACGGAAGTCTTATTCAAACTTTGAATAAAAACAACATGTGAACTAGAACTGAACTAGGACTGAGCTAGAACTAAACTAGAACTTAACAAGAACTGAACTAGAACTGAAATAGAACTGAACTAGAACTGAACTAGAACTGAACTAGAACTGAACTAGAACTGAACTAGAACTGAACTAGAACTGAACTAGAACTGAACTAGAACTGAACTAGAACTGAACTAGAACTGAACTAGAACTGAACTAGAACTGAACTAGAACTGAACTAGAACTGAACTAGAACTGAACTAGAACTGAACTAGAACTGAACTAGAACTGAACTAGAACTGAACTAGAACTGAACTAGAACTGAACTAGAACTGAACTAGAACTGAACTAGAACTGAACTAGAACTGAACTAGAACTGAACTAGAACTGAACTAGAACTGAACTAGAACTGAACTAGAACTGAACTAGAACTGAACTAGAACTGAACTAGAACTGAACTAGAACTGAACTAGAACTGAAGTAGAACTGAACTAGAACTGAACTAGAACTGAACTAGAACTGAACTAGAACTGAAGTAGAACTGAACTAGAACTGAACTAAAACTGAACTAGAACTGAACTAGAACTAACTGAACAGTGTAGTTTAGTTGTTGAAAACTAGTGTAAATCTGCTCTGGACAAATGAATGTAGGGCATGATACTGATTGAATGAACGAATGAAATGTAAGAAATGTGAAACCTAACCAACTTTAACGATTCAACGATTATTTACATAGTATCTTTTTCAGTTTAAATTATTATTTTTAACTTTTTTAATGTGTATGTACAATATTTCTCAATATTATGTAATTATGTATTTATGTTATACCGAAAACTAAAACGTTTAAAGGCAAATCATCTTCTTGAGATATTAATCGAATTGTTTTCTTTTTTATTTTATTTTTTTCGGATTTGCACTTCTGAACCTTGTTTGGGACGGCAAAAGCAAAGCAAACGTGGAAATTGTAACACACAAAGATTTAAAGAACAAGAGCTAAACATAGATAAATAGATAAATACATTTAGATATAGTTTACACTGGAAGAAAAAAGCTGTTGAAGTTTAGATAAGACGAAACGAAAGACATGAGACACAATTGAATACAAACAACAATTTGTATAATGGTAGAATGTCAGCACAGAACTTTGTTGTCGTTAAGGTGTTGATAGTGATCTTTTATGTAAATTTATGAAGATTTATATTATTATGATGAAATAAAGTATTCCAGGTTGGCTTTGCTTAACCGTTTGGGGAATACTTACACAACATTCACGAAATTGTTTGGCATCAATGGGTGATGTAAAATTGAGACCCCAAGTGTCATTGGTCATGGGATCCTTCCAGTAAACAAAACATTCTGAAGCCTGGCCAATGCGAGTACCTGGAGAAAATAAATAGTTAATAATAATTAGAAGGTAGAGTTGATATTAAAGTTTTACTAACCTGGTTGTACAAGTCGCACATCGAGTATCTTATCCACTTGACTGTTGTAGGCCGTTATGTGGAATACACATTCGGGTGAATCTTGTATGCATGATATATTGACAGGAACCAAATCTTCTGATACTTGTTGCCATTTAACTGTTCCAGCACCACTGGCTGAAACATGAAATACCTCCGCCCATAACCTGAACGAACTGTGGTGTATTAGACCCAGATATTTTGTTTTAGCAAATTACAAATACACATGCAGTAGTTTATACAAACACACACGCACATTGATATGTTAGGGATACACACACACAAACACATATATGAATACATAAGAAGGAAGTAAATAAAATTTGAAATTGTTCAATTGATTGATCAATTCGATTTTGGTTGGATGTGGATATATATTGCAGACACAAACAGGACATTTTTCAATTGTTGTTAGTTCGGTTGAAGTCGTTGGGTGTTGTTGGATTGTTTCAAAAATTTTGATGATACGTTTTGCATTTGGTTCGTTTTTTGCATTTTTCAATAGATCGCCAATTTTTTCAATAATTTATGTGAAGGTAGTGGTGGTGTTGGTTGTGGTGTGTGTATTTTTTCAATGGTTGTAATCATAATATTCAAGTCAAAATATTATTAAAAAAACATTTTTAATTATTTGTCAATTTATAGCAGGAAGATCAAAAGTTGTTGCAGAAAGTTGTGGCAGAAGGACAACAGTTGAAATTTTTTGTTGTTTGTGGTGATAGTAGTAGTAAATAGTAGCAGTAGTAGTAAGAGTTTTTTGGTAGTTTAAATTTTAGTGAAGGACAACAGGGTTGCAAAACATTTTAAGTTTTTTTTTGGATTTTGTATAGAAAAGAAAACAAATTTTTTTACTTGTTAAAACATAAATTTGAACGTTATAACAAAAAATAGATAAGTTTGAAACAAAATAGAAGTTTATGTACAGTAAATATGTTTTAACACAGAAATATTGTTAAGATATTGTTTAAACAATAACACTAAATATTCATAGAACTAGAACTGAACTAGAACTGAACTAGAACTGAACAAGAACTGAACTAGAACTGAACTAGAACTGAACTAGAACTGAACTAGAACTGAACTAGAACTGAACTAGAACTAAACTAGAAATGAACTAGAACTGAACTAGAACTGAACTAGAACTGAACTAGAACTGAACTAGAACTGAAGTAGAACTGAACTAGAACTGAACTAGAACTGAACTAGAACTGAACTAGAACTGAACTAGAACTGAACTAGAACTGAACTAGAACTGAACTAGAACTGAACTAGAACTGAACTAGAACTGAACTAGAACTGAACTAGAACTGAACTAGAACTGAACTAGAACTGAACTAGAACTGAACTAGAACTGAACTAGAACTGAACTAGAACTGAACTAGAACTGAACTAGAACTGAACTAGAACTGAACTAGAACTGAACTAGAACTGAACTAGAACTGAACTAGAACTGAACTAGAACTGAACTAGAACTGAACTAGAACTGAACTAGAACTGAACTAGAACTGAACTAGAACTGAACTAGAACTGAACTAGAACTGAACTAGAACTGAACTAGAACTGAACTAGAACTGAACTAGAACTGAACTAGAACTGAACTAGAAACTGAACTAGAACTGAACTAGAACTGAACTAGAACTGAACTAGAACTGAACTAGAACTGAACTAGAACTGACTAGAACTGAACTAGAACTGAACTAGAACTGAACTAGAACTGAACTAGAACTGAACTATGAACTGACTAACTAGAACTGAACTAGAACTGAACTAGAACTGAACTAGAACTGACTAGAACTGAACTAGAACTGAACTAGAAACTGAACTAGAACTGAACTAGAACTGAACTAGAACTGAACTAGAACTGAACTAGAACTGAACTAGAACTGAACTAGAACTGAACTAGAACTGAACTAGAACTGAACTAGAACTGAACTAGAACTGAACTAGAACTGAACTAGAACTGAACTAGAACTGAACTAGAACTGAACTAGAACGGAACTAGAACTGAACTAGAACTGAACTAGAAACTGAACTAGAACTGAACTAGAACTGAACTAGAACTGAACTAGAACTGAACTAGAACTGAACTAGACTGAACTAGAACTGAACTGAGAACTGAACTAGAACTGAACTAGAACTGAACTAGAACTGAACTAGAACTGAACTAGAACTGAACTAGAACTGAACTAGACTGAACTAGAACTGAACTAGAACTGAACTAGAACTGAAATAGAACTGAAATAGAACTGAACTAGAACTGAACTAGAACTGAACTACAAATATAGTCAAAGTTATTATTTCTTGTCATCATTTCTTCTAAAATATTTAGTGTTATTGTAATTTAACAAAGAAAAAAATTCATAGAAACTTTCAACTATAAACTTATGTAAATATTTTTAACAACCTTAATAAATGTCCATCACGACGTCTTGAACTTTGCCATGGAGAATCTTCGTAACGATACCCTTTACGCATCAATGGTGCGCACGAGCAGCTCAACTTATTACCCATGGCACAGCTAGTACAGCCACTGCTGGATTGAGCTAAAATTATTTGTGAGCAAATAAAGAGATAAATTGTTTAGTAAATGATATGAAATTTTAATTTAAATGACAATTTGGAATTGGATTAAGCCGATAGCAACCTTTACCTGATGCACCCCGATGTCACCACATCCCCGTAACGTCCGCCTGAGAAAGAGTTTGACCGCGATTTAAAGACTGGGAACGTTGATTGTGACGATAGCCGTGATAACGACTGCCACGCTGAAAAATAAATTTAAAAAAGAAAATACAATGAAAATAAATTGAATTTCCATAATACGTATATCGTTGTAGTAAGTTGTGGGCAGTTTCTCACAAAAAAATTTTGGTTGATATTTAATGATTTTTTTAAACCTGATATGAATGTTCAGTAAATTTTATGAAGGAAGTTTTAATTGTGAGCTAGGCCAATACTTTACTGTTCAGTTTCTGGGGGAACCAAAAATATTTGTTTTCAATAGAAAGACAATGGGGCGGGCCTGACTAGATCGTTATAGAATCGAATAAAAAGCTTTTGTAGATCTAAGAAGAAATCAAAATTCCAAAAAAAAAAACATTTCAAAGACTATAGACTAGACTATAGACTAGACTATAGACTAGACTATAGACTAGACTATAGACTAGACTATAGACTAGACTATAGACTAGACTATAGACTAGACTATAGACTAGACTATAGACTAGACTATAGACTAGACTATAGACTAGACTATAGACTAGACTATAGACTAGACTATAGACTAGACTATAGACTAGACTATATACTAGGCTATAGACTAGTCTATAGACTAGACTATAGACTAGACTATAGACTAGACTATAGACTAGACTATAGACTAGACTATAGACTAGACTATAGACTAGACTAAAGACTAGACTATAGACTAGACTATAGACTAGACTATATACTAGACTATAGACTAGACTATAGACTAGACTATAGACTAGACTATAGACTAAACTAAGACTAGACTGTAGACTAGACTATAGACTAGACTATAGACTAGACTATAGACTAGACTAAGACTAGACTAAGACTAGACTATAGACTAGACTAATAGACTATAGACTAGACTATAGACTAGACTATAGACTAGACTATAGACTAGACTATAGACTAGACTATAGACTAGACTATAGACTAGACTATAGACTAGACTATAGACTAGACTATAGACTAGACTATAGACTAGACTATAGACTAGACTATAGACTAGACTATAGACTAGACTATAGACTAGACTATAGACTAGACTATAGACTAGACTATAGACTAGACTATAGACTAGACTATAGACTAGACTATAGACTAGACTATAGACTAGACTATAGACTAGACTATAGACTAGACTATAGACTAGACTATAGACTAGACTATAGACTAGACTATAGACTAGACTATAGACTAGACTATAGACTAGACTATAGACTAGACTATAGACTAGACTATAGACTAGACTATAGACTAGACTATAGACTAGACTATAGACTAGACTATAGACTAGACTATAGACTAGACTATAGACTAGACTATAGACTAGACTATAGACTAGACTATAGACTAGACTATATACTAGACTAGACTATAGACTAGACTATAGACTAGACTATAGACTAGACTATAGACTATAGACTAGACTATAGACTAGACTATAGACTAGACTATAGACTAGACTATAGACTAGACTATAGACTAGACTATAGACTAGACTATAGACTAGACTATAGACTAGACTATAGACTAGACTATAGACTAGACTGTAGACTAGACTATAGACTAGACTATAGACTAGACTATAGACTAGACTATAGACTAGACTATAGACTAGACTATAGACTAGACAATAGAATAGACTATAGACTAGACTATAGACTAGACTATAGACTAGACTATAGACTAGACTATAGACTAGACTATAGACTAGACTATAGACTAGACTATAGACTAGACTATAGACTAGACTATAGACTAGACTATATAGACTAGACTATAGACTAGACTATAGACTAGACTATAGACTAGACTATAGACTAGACTATAGACTAGACTATAGACTAGACTATAGACTAGACTATAGACTATAGACTAGACTAGACTATAGACTAGACTATAGACTAGACTATAGACTAGACTAGACTAGACTATAGACTAGACTATAGACTAGACTATAGACTAGACTAAAGACTAGACTATAGACTAGACTATAGACTAGACTATATACTAGACTATAGACTAGACTATAGACTAGACTATATACTAGACTATAGACTAGACTATAGACTAGACTATAGACTAGACTATAGACTAGACTATAGACTAGACTATAGACTAGACTATAGACTAGACTATAGACTAGACTATAGACTAGACTAGACAATAGACTAGACTATAGACTAGACTATAGACTAGACTATAGACTAGACTATAGACTAAACTATAGACTAGACTATAGACTAGATTATTGACTAGACTATAGACTAGATTATAGACTAGACTATAGGCAGGCTTATGGGCTATATACTAAAGTATATATTGGATTATAAACTAGAATGTAGACTGGCTTATCTACTATAGTCTAAACTATAGACTGGCTTATAGACTCACTAGACTACAGACTGACTACTATGTGGACTACTTATCAAAAGTTTATATGTTAGAAAAAGTACCGAATATGTCGTAGTGGTACCGCCGTATTTTTCGGTATCCAAAAGTACTGAAAAAAGGACTAATGTACTGAATTGTTCATGCTTGTATAGAACAAACTTCTTGCGGGTATCTTTCCTTTCACTTGCTATATGCATAAGTAAATTTAAATATAATATTCACAAACCTCCTCCCTACGACAAATGAATATGATTTTTTTTTTATTAAAATATTTGAATTTTTAGAAGTTTTTGAACAATTTTTTTTATTTAATTTTTTATTTAACATTAACAAAATTTTTGGTTGACCCTCGTAATTTTGTTTCTTTGCCAAAGTGTCTTTATTTGATAAATTTCTTATGTATTTACATTTGTTTTGATTTGTTTTCAACTATTAGTTGTTTTAGATATTTATTAACTTTTATATTTGTTTATTTTTTAAACAAGTGATAATTGAGTTTAATTTAACTTTTGTTTTTCAACACTTTCATTCACAAATGCATGCGAAGTCTTTAGATAAACAATTTTCAATAAAACAACCAACTACATATTGGTAATATATTTGCATTGAACAACTAGAGAATGCAACAAACCACCAACAAACAGCAAAAAAATAACGACCACACAAATTCAATTTGAGAAACTAAAAAAAAAATTGAGTGATAAACATTTTAAGAATTAAGCTTAAAATCTTTTAAAACTTTGTTCCACTGTAAATATATTATTTATTTGTAGAATTTTGTAAATTTTGCAATTGTTATAATTTTGTCTCACTGTAATCAGATGGCTGCAAGTAGGTTGACAATAAAAATCGGTTTGTTTTGGTTGTTGTTTTTAGTTCGCAATTGCACTTCTTCTCACTCACAACATGTAATTTTTAAGGTGAAGATAATTAATTAATACTCTTCTAAATTTCAATAAGAACACTTTTGATTAAATACCGTGCGTACAAGTAGAATTTATCAAGAATAAAATTGGCCTTTGGAATCATACAACTAAGAAAATTTAGTTTCAAAAGGAACGCACACACATGCTGACTAAAATAATTATGATTTCATTATTTTATTACGAGTATTATTTATGTTTGTTGGATTATAACGAGACATTAAGGCAACTTTAATTTCACTATAAATCATTCCAAAATCAAATTAACAAAATAAAACAGAACAACAATAATATACAATTACGCCGAATAAAAAAAAGAAAGGCACGATTCAAAATTTGAGTTTATTTTTAAATAATTTAAAATTTTCTACTCGTACACAAAATTTTACACTCTCTTGAGATTTATAACGTTAAATGAAAAACATCAATGTTTTTTTGTTTTGTTTATATCTTTGTAATATTAACACACACACGCACGATGTAGTATTTACAGTGATTTTAGCGGGTAGGCAGGCACACTTGCTACGATCAACTGAAATCACAAAATCAAAACAAACTTACAGTCTGTTGTAGTAGTTGGCATGTGGTGAGAAAAACCTCATCAAGAGCTGCCAAGAATAACGACGTCAGCCGGACAGCATCTGTTAGTGGTAACACATGACGTTTATCAAACAAAGTCTTAAAGCTCACGATCATGCTTCCGACGATGCTAATCTGTTTAGCATAAATATGTTTTTCTTTTTTCTCTTTTATTTCGCCCACATTGGGGAATTACTCATACATAGTACATATTAGCACCCACTACCTCTGAGAAAAGTGTTACATCTTAAAAATATCACGTTCACCGAGAGAAAGAGAGAGAGAGTGTGTTATAGGAACAGATGCTAATAGTAAGTGAAAACAAAAACAATAAATTATTTTCCTAGGTCTAAGATAAAATACATTTGTTGTATTCGCTCTGTCTCTAGGGAGAATAATTTTTTTCTAATAAATCTATCATTTTCGGTTTTGTTTATAGAAAGGTGAAAAGCATTGAGTTAGGCGATTGTTACGTACATTTTTCTCACTAGATTCCCATAATTATTTATACGCAAATGAAAGAACATTGACCTAATTTCAAAATTATGCGAATTTTTGAAATCAGCAAAGAGAACAACGCCTCATAAGACTTGTTTTTGTTTGGAAGATTTCAAAATTTACTTTAATCTCTAATAATGAAGCCAATTTTCTATTAGATCCCCAATATATTACTTATACGCCAAGAAATAAGTTTTAGTTTTAAACAAAGATTACACAGGCCAACAAATTTTTAAGCCAGAAACCTAAACATAGAGGATTGAGTTACGCCAAATTCGAATTTGAACTTTAAGCTCTAAAGAAAATTATGTGGACTGATACTCATAAAATGATTGATTGATGAATCTACGTTTACATAAAATGTAATTATCCTGAATTTCATAAGGAGGTTATTGATCGATTTTAACCATTTTCAATAGGCTTCTTCCCTAGAATAATAGAAGATCATGTACCTAATTTTAATGAATTAACTTCAATATTACGACCTGTAGTTTGATTACAATGTTTACAAGCCCTATTTGGGGGTTCAGTTGATGGCTATTTGAAATAATGAACCGATCTTAACCAATAATAGACCATTTTACCAAATTTTAAAGATATATCTTAAAAATTTCGACCTGTAGTTTGATTACAAGGTTCACATTGACGGACAGACGGACAGAGCTAAATCGACTCAGAAAATAATTATTTATACTATAAAGTGGATGCAGGACCAATATTATTACAAACATCAGCATAGGTTATAAATATATCTCATTTAATCGGACACTTCTCCTACAACAACACGAAAGTTCTGTATGCTATGTTCTGAAGGCACACTTAGTCGTAATTCATGTTCACATTTTAAATGCACGCCCAGATTACGAACCGAATTACACGATTGTCCACTTAACGTCAGAACATAGCATTAGTTGCATTTTAACTGTCGGTTATTCGTTTCTCTTGTAAAGAGTTCTGTTTCTGACCATCAGTATTACAGATAGATACTAATTTAGAAATAAAATCTGGAAAAAAGATCACTTAGGGGAGTGGATTGAATAACACAAAGGTTCTGTGATCCTCTTTGCTAATTCTTAATTTCTTACTACTCAGTTAAATTTGAACTATATCTACATATATCTTAATTTATCACAGTAATATTGCTGTGACATTTTATAAAAGATTTGATTATATTGAGGGCAGTAAAAGATTCTTTTTCATATTTTTCAGATAGTATATCACATTTATTTATAAAGCAATTATATATCGACCTGATATTATAGGAAACACTTTTTAATGAAGTTTCAAAATCCGCCTTGCATGAATATTTTTGCAATATTCGAACTTTGGCCATTTTTTCTTCCACAAAATTTTTACAAAAATCCTTACTCTTTTTATAGATTATTAAATTTAACGCAATTTCTTATGCTTTTTGAAGAAACATGCAATTTTTTATTTTGCTATAATAATAAAAATTTAATTTCAACTAAAATAAATAGAAAATGTTTCATAGAAAAATCGAATTTTAGTCAATTTTACTCATGGGAAATTTGAAAAGTAATAACATAAACATATTAAAAATTATTACAAATTGCTATTACTTTCATAATTGTAATAACGTTCATATACTTATGAAAAACATGTCAACAATTCGTAATAATTTGTAACTGTTTTTTTTTTTTTTTTTGTTACAAAGAGGAATTTTGTGAGAAAAGTAGAGGGTTTCCTCTGTTTGTGAAAATGTAAAGCTTTTTATTATCAGTGAGTGGTAATTCTTAGATTTCGTAAAGTTTGTTCGCAATTCGAACTTAATAGAGTTTCTAATAATTTGGAAAAACTGGAAATCACTGGAGTTCACGATCCATATAATAGTACCGACTAACTAACGTAAGACGTCACCCTTTTTTATATCAATGAAAATTCTCTGATGAAAATTTGATTTTTCGAAAGAGGATCAATATTGAGTTAATTAAAGGCTGGCCTTCATCCTTTGGTGAAAAGATTTATATGTTTAAACTGCAAATGATTTAGAATCATACCGAAAATCGGTGTATCATTTAAGATTATATAGTACTTAGTTGTCCCAATATCTCATAGTACATTATTTATACTATAGATTAGACTATAGACTAGAATATAGACTAGACTATAGACTAGACTATAGACTAGACTATAGACTAGACTATAGACTAGACTATAGACTAGACTATAGACTAGACTATAGACTAGACTATAGACTAGACTATAGACTAGACTATAGACTAGACTATAGACTAGACTATAGACTAGACTATAGACTAGACTATAGACTAGACTATAGACTAGACTATAGACTAGACTATAGACTAGACTATAGACTAGACTATAGACTAGACTATAGACTAGACTATAGACTAGACTATAGACTAGACTAGACTAGACTATGACACTATAGACTAGACTATAGACTAGACTATAGACTAGACTATAGACTAGACTATAGACTAGACTATAGACTAGACTATAGACTAGACTATAGACTAGACTATAGACTAGACTATAGACTAGACTATAGACTAGACTATAGACTAGACTATAGACTAGACTATAGACTAGACTATAGACTAGACTATAGACTAGACTATAGACTAGACTATAGACTAGACTATAGACTAGACTATAGACTAGACTATAGACTAGACTATAGACTAGACTATAGACTAGACTATAGACTAGACTATAGACTAGACTATAGACTAGACTATAGACTAGACTATAGACTAGACTATAGACTAGACTATAGACTAGACTATAGACTAGACTATAGACTAGACTATAGACTAGACTATAGACTAGACTATAGACTAGACTATAGACTAGACTATAGACTAGACTATAGACTAGACTATACTAGACTATAGACTAGATAGACTAGACTATAGACTAGATAGACTATAGACTAGACTATAGACTAGACTATAGACTAGACTATAGACTAGACTATAGACTAGACTATAGACTAGACTATAGACTAGACTATAGACTAGACTATAGACTAGACTATAGACTAGACTATAGACTAGACTAGACTAGACTATAGACTAGACTATAGACTAGACTATAGACTAGACTATAGACTAGACTATAGACTAGACTATAGACTAGACTATAGACTAGACTATAGACTAGACTATAGACTAGACTATAGACTAGACTATAGACTAGACTATAGACTAGACTATAGACTAGACTATAGACTAGACTATAGACTAGACTATAGACTAGACTATAGACTAGACTATAGACTAGACTATAGACTAGACTATAGACTAGACTATAGACTAGACTATAGACTAGACTATAGACTAGACTATAGACTAGACTATAGACTAGACTATAGACTAGACTATAGACTAGACTATAGACTAGACTATAGACTAGACTATAGACTAGACTATAGACTAGACAATAGACTAGACTATAGACTAGACTATAGACTAGACAATAGACTAGACTATAGACTAGACAATAGACTAGACTATAGACTAGACTATAGACTAGACTATAGACTAGACTATAGACTAGACTATAGACTAGACTATAGACTAGACTATAGACTAGACTATAGACTAGACTATAGACTAGACTATAGACTAGACTATAGACTAGACTATAGACTAGACTATAGACTAGACTATAGACTAGACTATAGACTAGACTATAGACTAGACTATAGACTAGACTATAGACTAGACTAGACTATAGACTAGACTATAGACTAGACTATAGACTAGACTATAGACTAGACTATAGACTAGACTATAGACTAGACTATAGACTAGACTATAGACTAGACTATAGACTAGACTATAGACTAGACTATAGACTAGACTATAGACTAGACTATAGACTAGACTATAGACTAGACTATAGACTAGACTATAGACTAGACTATAGACTAGACTATAGACTAGTTGGACTTTAAGTTAAAACTACCAAAGATATCGTATGGGGCACCGCCGTATTTTTCGGTATCAAGTACGGTATCAAATACTGAAAAAAGTACTGAATTTTCCACGTCTGTTCTAACATATTATATAAGGCAAATCTTTGGTTCCCTATATAACTACCTTTAGATCATTTTAATCCAGAGAAATATCCCTTAATATTTGAATTACAAAAAATTTAAATAACAAAATATCCTGTGAAATTTTCCCTTTGGGGCA